TGTACTATGCACAGAGTACACATTCGTGTCCACGTCACTCTGCCGTAGAACATTTTTTAACCATCGCCCAAGGGTGTCAGAGGACACCGCTGCCTGTGGTTTTTGATAAAAGACACGGCTGGTAAATGATAACCCCTACGATAAAATAAAGGTCCTACCTTAACTGTCTGCATATCAGATAAAATTGATTTCGGTGGGCACTCCGTCCCGTCCTTTTTTCTCCTTTCTATCACGAATATTTCAAGCCAGTAAACAATTTCTTTTGAGTCCATAACGTGAAGAAACGGACTGTTTTCAGTCCGTTTCTCGCGCCATTTCTCGAATACATTCATTGCCCATTTAGTATTGCTTTTTGTCTTCGCATTCTCTTGCTCGGACATAGCATATTAAGCTCTTCATCCGTTACAGGTGTCCTAAAGCGAATACATGTAGTTTCTTCCGCTTGAAGCTCAGTCTTGACGGTAGGGTTAGTGTCCATATTTACATCTAAAGCGCCCTAACCATTCCAAAAAATATTCTTCTTTCATACTCAGCGATAAATCACATATTCCTTTAAATGCCAAATTTTCATTCTCTAGAGTTTCACATATTTGAGAGAGTGTAAGATCGGCAATGTCCTTGTCCAATGCATCAAGAAAATCGATATCCACTACATCCGTCTGACCAGCCATTACATCACCGTCTAAATGATTCTTGACAGTGCGCGCGAGCGCTAAATGCGCGAATCAATTAATGATTAGGATTTCGCCACCGCTCCTACAGCTGAGTGGATCAGTGACAACAGCACCCCTGGCTGGATAAATAGGACGCCGAATGATCGCAAGCCACTGTAAGCACGGGAATCAAATAAGAGACACGTTGGAGAACAGAACAATGGTCTTAGATTCCTATTCCTAAATGTGTGTGGAATTAAAAATAGACTGAACTACAGTGAATTAAAGAGTTTGTTTCAAAATTCGATATATGGCTCACTGAGATCAAACTGACGACTCAGATAATATTTACCATTTATTTGTAACATACATGAAAATTTCACACTCAATGGAAAATACTACATCCGGCGGTATTTTAGTTGCAATTATATCCGGCGGTTTTTAAGTTGCAATCACAGATGATATTGTAAAATAGTTCAATTTATCAAACTCATTGTAATTTAAATTATGTTTAATGATTTAGAATTAGCAAAGAACTCTTAAAAAATGAAGATATATTATTTGGGGGTTATTATATCCCCCATGAAGGTAGTAGATACTATTTCAATGATTTTCTTAAAATAGAACATGAAATGATTAATTTAGCACATGACAATGGGCATGTTTGTTTCATGGGAAATTTTAATGCCAGAACTGGTCATCTTTCTGATTATTTCACCTAAACTCATTTCCAAATTATGAAAAATCTATCGGGGGGGGGGGGGGGGTGTCTATACATTTAAATTCACCCCTCCACCCCCCCCCCCTAAACACACCTGGATATGCGCAAGATTAGCACGCATACAGTGTTAAATTATTATTATAACAATTATTTAAACAACCAGTATTATAACGTAGATAATATATGCTTACATAGAAGATTTAATAATTGACATAATCAGACTTAAGGTTTTTTGTGCTTGTCAAGAGATTTCTGGATTTTTTTTTTTTTGCGTGGGGTTGACCCCCCTGGAAACAATTCCTGGATCCATGTCTGCTTTTCAATGTGCACGTAAATCTGTGTAAAGAAATGTACAAAGTAGCAAACTATCATTTCTTGAATTTCAATTTACCTGTTTATAATTATTTATTAATGTACATAGGGTACAAATGCTACACTGCAGGGCATATTAGAGCATCAGTACATTGCACCCGAGTGCCTGAGAATGTGTTGAAGAATTTCTCGGAGGGATACCTGTCATGTGTGATGGATGTAGTTGATCTCCGTTTCCAAATGAGAGTCTTGGTTAAATGGATTCTCTGCAACAAAATCCCTTTCTTTCAAGAAGAAAACTGTCCTGGCCCATATTCCACGTCATTTTTCTCAGAAATCCAATCACAAGAGTGAAATGGTAAGTTTTAATTTATCAAGTTAAAATTTAGAAAAATAAGAGAGATATTGTATGTATAATAATTTGTATGCAGTATTAATGAAAATTTTTAAGGTACTCTTAGGTGTTTTAGACAAAGACGAAAGTAAAGTTGGAGCTGCTATCGGGATTGTCAATGAGTACCATGAGTACGTTCCACTCACACCTGATGGATCTCCATCAACTCTTCCCCTCCATGCTGATGGATTTAACTGTGAGAGAGTCAAAGAATGCAAGCATTAATGGAACAATGAAGTGGCTACAGCTGCAGGGACTTATTCCAATCATTCAAGAATGGCACAAAAGATGTCTGCTTCTCCAAGTTGGTGTCACTTTGCTGAGCAACGTGTAATGGAGAAAAATTGACCAGATTAAAAAATTAACATGTTAAGGGTGACAGCGTATTTAAATTAATTCAATAAATCTTTTTTATACATTTTTGAAACGTGATTTTTTTAAGCACGCATATCGATGAACCATTAGATTTATGTAGAAATAAAGTATTTTCATTGTTTGTTATTTTATCTTGGATAATGTTAAATTCACTGCGCACGAAAAGCATTCGCTCCTCTGAATGAAAAATGACATTCGGCGGTTTATTGTTCGTTGAAGTTTTAACCTGTTTAACAAAGGACGCATCTTCATTTTTCTTATTCAGGTTTATTACAGTGTATGACCTCATTGGGCAGGTTCTGTTTATTCTAAGGATGTTTCTTCTTTTCATTATTGTTTTGGAATTCAATAATCCTGACGGTTTTCAACGTAATTGGATCTTCTGTGGTGTTCTGTCAAACCTCTTTTTTATTTCTCTTGGCGGCTTATTGTCTACGTTTGCTTGTTTTTTTTTTATTATGTGTTGAGCATCCTATTAGAAAATTTTTTTACTGATGGCAAATTCAGGAGGGTCAGATGAATCACGCGCGTACCCACCCCTGCCTCTACTGAGATCCGCGCATGTTTTTCTTCGGAACAAAGTATTTGTCAAAACTTTCAAGAACCGTATTGAATTTCTTGTCACCGGAAGAAAGTGCGACGGACTTAAATATTCCTTCCGTTTCCGGTCCCATGTAGTAAATTAGAGAACTTATCTGTATTAGGTTATAAGCGTCGGTAATCTCCGTAGCAATCTGTCGGGGCATTCACTTGGCCTGGTGAGGTGAAATTTTACGGGGATTTGAACTTCGGCATGTTGGCAACTTCTACATCTCTGACACCGTGTCTTAATGGCTTGGTTCATTAACTATTATTATACCTCTGTTAATAATTCCCGAATTTGATTGGCTAGTAAGAAAACTTTAAAACACAACAGTGAATCCAAAAGGTACTTTTACAGCAAAAGAGACCTAGGAATCATTACATGTGGGCTATAATGACCCGGTCATTATAATTAATGACCGCAAAATAATGACTTCGTAATCAAAAATTCCTTTTTTGAGTGAAGGTAATGCATAAAGTAATAATTGTTCGAGAAAAACATGTTTTTTGAAACGTGCAAGGTCTTTTTTTGCATTACCATACAGAATACGGTAAAATTTTATCGTTAACGTAAACGGTTTATTCATATCAAATTATCGTTACAATTCAGTTCAATGGAATGTAGAAGCCGCTCTTCAAAGAGTTGAATTCTGTGTTAGATTTTGACTGTGTAATGGAAAAGTAATCACTATAACAATGTATGACGCTATCAACCAAATATTGTTTTAATCAGTAAATCATGATGCAAAAACGTACACGACTTGCAGACGTCAATGTAAACAACTTCACTATACGGAGTGTAGCGAATACCGATCCCGATCAAAGAAAGAATTGAGAACTGTTAGAGATTCATACTTTTCAATGTATATCGGTATAATAAAACAATTGATTACCCCTTGTGAGTTCAACGTGGTGAAATAAGGACCCTCGACCTGACCCACTCGATGACCTGCCCTGACCGAGGCCGCGATCTCGGGTCCGTATTTCACCATGTTGACCTCAAAAGGGGTAATTAATTTCATATTACTCCGAGTCCAAAAATGCATGTTTATTCAATACGGCGCTTATATTATACATGTAAATCAGTCGTACATAAAATGATTCCACACAGACTAGATAAATCGCATGATAAACACTTACTTAAAAGTTCCAACCTTATTGGATTTTGTTCTGAAGCATATGGAGATAGCAAACAGTATTCAACATCGAAAGCCCATAAAACAATACAAAATAGGAGCAGAGCAAACACAAACCCCCAAAACATCAGAAGTGGGATCAGGTGCCATGGAGGAGTGAGCATCCCCTTCCGACCAGACACACCCGCCGTTGGCTCCTTGTCATGGTCGGGAAATAATCGTCAATTCAGTGTATAAATAATGGACTAACAATTAGTATAAGAAAAACCTCCACCAGCATTTTACTCAATAATGCATGTATATGTTATAATTCTGATACACGAGTTAACCTGTTCTATTCAATTCGCTGTAGCAGCTGTGGATGAAGGAGGAGGGAGATATCTTGACAAGAAAAATGAAGCTTTCATATCATTTATGTGAAAAACCTATTTCCTAGGTGTGGGGACAGCAATTCAATTTTACTAAGCATTCACATCTTAAGACTTTTCAAATCAACTGAACAAGGATCGGTGTTTTCTAGGGTCGGGGATTCGAAGGTCAATGTTAGTTGGCTTAGCATATTCCGGGAGTGGGTACCGCACCCACCCCACCCCCCTCTAAATCTGCACGTGTAGCAATACACGATCGGATAAACTAGTAACTGGTTATATGATGAATATCCAATCAGAACCTAGATATAATTATTTAATTTCATTATGTGGAACATCTGCAAAGAAAATGAACGGAAACTGTTGATAGACCAACTGAACGACTGACAGGCAGCAGCAAAGCAATATGCTCTCTCTTCTTCGACAGAGGGCATAAAACACGTTCTTCTTTAGTGTTTTTCAAACATCTTGTGAAGATATTTTCAATATTTTACACAAAAACAAGTAAACTGGATAAACATCTGATAAAACAATCAAGCCAAAAATGAGCGACAGTATCACACCTCCTATTGTTCCCATTGATGTTGATGATTTGCGATTATCTTTCGCACAAGTCAGCTTTCTCACTGTAGAGGAAAGATTTCCTTCATTCACCATTAGCGCCCGTTTCCTCCGGTGAATTATTTCTTCAAGTGATACAGAAACATACTGACAAACGCAAATACAATTCACTGTTCCATTTGTGATTTGTATTGGCGTGTTTGATGCTTCCTGTGTTGTGCTCTTATATACTGTTGTATTCTCACCCTCTGTAGTGAGGAGTTGTTCAGTTACGGTTAATAGCGACGCCTGTTCCGTGGTCTTCAGGGTTCCCTCTTCTGTACTTAAAAATGCCCCCTGGTCTGTAGAAAAGGGTGTCTCCGGATCTTTACTTGATAAATGTGTTTGTTTTGTACTTGAAAATAATCCCGATTCTGTTGTTGATGTTTCTTTTGCTATTGTGGAAATGACAGTTGGTTCCATTGTAAGAAAAGTTCCTTGTTCTGATGTTGACATTATGTCCTGTTCTGGATCTGTTCTTGTCTCAGACTCCGCTGTTGACGTACTGCCTTGTTCAAAATGCGACAGAGTTTGGCTTGAGGACAATGAATTCAATTGCGTAGTTTCCAAGTCTACTGATTCCGTTAACGTTTTCATTGAAGTTACCGATTCTGTTTTTGGGGAAAATTCTGGATTTCTTGGCAACAATATATCGGTTGTCACCAGTGTTCCTGAATCAGTTGTAGAGGTATCTGATTTTATAAAAGACGCCGTCTCCGTTGTGAGTGGCATTTCTGATTCTGTGGTTTGTGATGCTATTCGATCAGTAGATAATGTTTCTGTTGTCGGCAAGGTTTTATAGTGTGACACACTTCCGGATTCTCTCGTGATGAAGGTTTTCTGTTCCATTGTTTCTTCGTCAGTGGTTGATAAAGCCTCAGTATTGGTAAATGTTGGAGATTCGGCAGTTATTGAATCCATCGATTTCGAGGATGCAAAATTTGCTTTTGAAATGAGAATGTTTTCTGACTCGGTTGGATGCACAGTTTCTGCTTCTGATGTGAATGTATTTGGAAATTTTGTTGTAAGCATTTCCAAACTCGGCGACGAACCCGAGTCCATTTCTTTAGTATTCTGCTCTGAATGCATTTTTGCTTCGGTTTCGGTTTGTAAAGTTACTTTTTCTTTAGTTGAAAGCAATTTAGGTTCTGTAGTAAGTAAAATTTCTGGTTCTGTAGTAAAGGATATGTCCTGTTCGGAAGTTTTGACACTTTTCGTATTAAATATGTCTGGTTCAGTAGTTTGTTGATTTTCTGGCTTTGTAGTAATTGGTAAGCCTGGTTCTGTATTTTTAAAACTTGTTGGCTCCGTAGTAATTGGTACATCTGACTCTGTAGTAAATGGTACATCTGGCTCCGTAGTAAATAGTACATCTGACTCTGTAGTTAATGGTACATCTGACTCCGTAGTAAATGGTACATCTGACTCTGTAGTAATTGATACATCTGACTCCGTAGTAAATGGTAAATCCGTAGTAAATGGTAAATTTGACTCTGTAGTAATTGGTACATCTAACTCCGTAGTAAATGGTATATCTGACTCTGTAGTTATTGGTACATCTGGCTCCGTAGTTAATGGTACATCTGACTCTGTAGTAATTGCTATATCTGACTCCGTACTAAATGGTAAATCTAACTCCGTACTAAATGGTAAATCTGACTCCGTAGTAATTGGTACATCTGATTCCGTAGTAAATGGAACATCTGGCTCCGTAGTTAATGGTACATCTGGTTCCGTAGTAAATGATACATCTGACTCCGTGCTAAATGGTTCATCTGAATCCGTACTAAATGGTACATCTGACTCCGTAGTAAGAACAAACCCCGGTTCCGTTGTTAAGAAACCCGATTTGGTTTCCGATTCCGTTTCAGGGTCTGAATTCATTGTACTTATTATGAAGTTAAAACTGTCCTTCATAGTAACTCGACATTGTCTTTGTCCAAAATATCTCTGAGAAGATGAATCTGAACGACTTTCGTCAGAGGAGCTTAGATAACAGTAATTGGTTGCATAGTCAATAGTGTATGACTGACATGTCACATAGTCATCACAGAGTTCTTGACACACGGAGTTTAAATTGCTACCAATACTCCAGACACCGAAATACGAGGCTATTACCATGTATTGCTGTAGTACATACGGACAGATGTCCGTATTCTGTGTCGTCGTCGGCATAGGAGTAGTTGAACATATCTTCAAAGCAAAATATTTGCGCTTACTGGCATCGGCAGGGGTGGTTCTTGTAGTTAAGTAGCAATAATTGTTATATGTGTCTAATGCGTAAGCTTTACATGAACTGTCATTATCACATAATCTTGAACACTCCGAATTTAAATTTCCTCCATAGATCAAGAAGGTTGTATAAGGTGAGATTGCCATCTTGTACTGTTGTAGTGTATACGTACACGTCGCCTGATGAGTGTTCATAGCTGAAATAATTTGTATTTTGTAATATGTAAGGACACTTTCATTATATACTCTAATAATATTAAAAAAAACTTTCCTTATGAAAAACAAATATTCATTTTTCTAAGATATAACAAAAATTTTAAAAATGGATTAGAGTTTTTATATAATCAAATTGATATTTAACAATTGTCGCCTTAAAACGTGGTAAATCCTTAGATTTATAAACCTGATAGAAAGCACATCGACATAATACTTTGTGCTCAATCTATATGCTTTCTCTATGGTCATATATCTATATTGTTCATAATCTCAAGGCTATTTTTAAATTTTTTTTTCAGATCATGTCACATCTATCTTTTTTTGAAAACCCATGGTCCCAATTCTTTCTAATATGAAATATGTTTCTGTCATACGCATTATAATTGACGTCACAGTAAAACGATAAGCAGTTACAGTATTTGCATATTAAAAAGACTATAGTGATGTGCTCCTTTTTGTTGCTTCACACTTTTTTAGAAGCAGCAATTTTTTTTTATTTCTCGCAAGGGGGCGTATTACGCTTCACTAGAACACTTTTGTCAACGTCTAAAAAATGTTAGTAATATATTAATTTTAATATTTTTCTCTTATTGAGGAAGGATATCGATAATAAACATTTGACCTATCCTTAAATCCATTAGCTAAAAACAGTAATGATTGAGAATGAAAAACACTGATCCCCGGAGAAACCAGAAGGAAGGAGATGCTTTGTAAGTATTATAGAATGATCATCTATTGAAATTGGAATATTATATTGAATAACTAATTCATCGAAAAAAAAAACAAAACATTTTATTTGAATAAGAAAGCAAACAATATCAAGATTTATTTGTATTTTGTAATATGTAAGGAATTCCTAGACACATTCATTATATACTGTACTAATTAGAAAGAAGAATTTCCTTGTGAAATGCAATTTTTTTTAAAGAAAATATTGGATATATATTTTATATAATGAGATTCATATTAAACAAATATTGCCTTTGAATAAAGTCAAACCGTAGTTCTTTAAAACTCATATTGAATAACTAAGTTCTGGGAAAAAATTTAAAAAAAAAAAAAGGAAGCAAACAATACCAAAATATATTAAAAAAAACATTTAAGTTCTCGGAAAAGGATTTAAAAAAAAAAAGAAAGCAAACAATACCAAAATTTATTTAAAAGAAACATTGAAATACCTTGTGAGAAGACTAGCAATGCAACAATTGCAGTGGCAGCCGTCATCTGAAAGAACAAAAATTAAAACGTCTTAGGAAGAAATATTAGGAGAAAATCTGATGGTTTCAGGGTTCTCATTAAAAATATAACATCTTATTACTATTTTATCTAAGACTGCATATTACAAATAACCAGGTTTTTTTATGATAAAGAGCACTTGAAAAAAAAGATACATATGTAAAACTTAGATGTTTCACTTTTTAAAAAAAACTTAACCAACAATGATGACTCTTACAAAAATGGCTGTGATCTAGATTTGGAATGTACGCATGCATCATAGAGGTACATATTTGAAGAAAAGCCATAAACTAATTTTCTACTCAGCAACCAGAAAAAAGTATGATTCAAACTAGCGAGGGAAAATTAAAATATGTCAACCATACAATAAATCCAGACAGCTATTGAATGTTTTCTAAAAATATATAGCAAATCAGATATTAAAAAAGATTTTCAGTGAAATTTAATGTAATCAAACACTTCTCTAAGAAATTAGAAAAATTCTACAATGTTGAAATAGGCCCATTTTTTACTTTAGATTATTTAGTGAAAGTAATAATTATACTTCAATAAAACCATTTTGAAATGATTGGAGTTTTTAAACTGTATCAAAAATAATTTTTGGTAAAATAAAAAATAATTTCGGACATAATTCTTCTTACCTCTGCTTCTTTGATTTATCCAGCGCTGCTAAAATTACATACATTGAAAATGAGAGACAGTCTACGAACAGTAACGAATTATTGATATTCCGTACCAAAATTTACAGAAACTAATTTATATGAAAGTGTATTGAATAAGAAAATTCATCTTTGGAAGGAATAAATATTTAAGGAATGAACTAAACAATTTTAAACAGATTACATATATTACTAACAAACAAATGTTGATAATTAATTGTTTACTTGGGGGCTAAAGTTTAGAAAAATAAATCAATATCTTAAATATCGTCATCCCAATTAGTTTCTTTTCCCTAATTATGAGAACGTCGCAAATTGGGGTCAATAATATAAGTAAATATATTTCATGCCCAATGTCTGGAATTTAATTCGCTGTTGTGTTAACCTATTTCTTTTTTTTTCTACTTCCTGTGGTCCATTTGGGTAACACAAGTATGCAATAATTCTGCCGTATAGCATGTTTTAATGTACTTTTATCTTCACGTTAACTACAATGCATCAAACTAGCTCGTGATTACTTCCAAATGATTAATAATTAGTTTGTAAACAAAATTCAATATTGATTATTATACGGGTAGTATTTGGTTTATACCAATATCTGGCGATTGTTTATTTAGTCAAGAGAATTAAATTTGTTTTCCGCAAATTCTATACAATTGACAATTACTTTTATTTGATAGTCTCTATATATAGAGAAATTCCAGGATTACTGCTGTAGAGATTTGAAAACTAGGTCCACACACATCAATGGACGAGAGTTCTAATTAATTTCATTAATAATAAAAAAAAAATAGTTTCTTTATTTCATTAACGATTGAAATTATATTTAATAATTCAACTTAATTTTCAATAGAATCTGACAGAAAATTTGGAAGCCTTAAATATTGAACAGAGTGACGACCAAGTGCGCTTTTTGATGCATTTTTATGCTCGCAGAGAGAGAGAGAGAGAAAAACGTTAGTATAATTTAACGACATAGAATTCAATAAAAATATTGATATTAAAAAAAAAATTTCAACAGAATTTTTTTCTTGTGTGAAAGGTCATGTAAATTTCAGAAGATTTGATTAAAATATGCATTTACCTGCAAAACAGCGGTCAACATTTATGAAATATGCCGAATTATGGCTGGTTTATAATAAACAAAAATATTTTCTGTGCAAATGTTCAAAATGAAATTACTACATTCAAAACAATGAAGATTTTTATTAAAATTTTCGTATCGGACATATTGTTGTATGAATAAAACTAAAAAGGTATCCAGGAATGAAAACCGGTTGTTCCGATAGCGTTTCATGCCAAAATGAAGTGTCATGTCAAAAGAAAAGAAAATAATAATTTAGAAGACGGAGATCGAGGCGTTTGTATTCGTTTTGACAAAGCGTTATGAAAGAGAAATATATCAAATATTTATAATTAAATTTAAAATAAATAAAAAACATATTTAAAAGGATTATTAATTTTACGTCATATATTTCTTGAAAAGCAATTAAGTAAACAGCGCGGAAAATAAAAATGGCTTCCCCTGACAGCGACAGGAATGATTAATCAAGTGACGATTTACACAGCAGTTCTGCAGGTTCAGACATAAGCATTGATGATCCTTTGGATACTTTTTCATCTGATACGGATGACGATGATCCGAACTCGGTCATCCTTGGAGACTTTTTCTGTCAGATCAGTGATTCAGAGGGTCCCGGTTTTTGGTCCAGTGAATTGCATCCTGTGTCGAATGACGATCCCACCTTCTCACAAGAAACGGGTCCAAGTCACCATTTGTCGCCGACTGACAGTTATTTCTATTTGATGGTATCAGAGGATTTCTTTGAGAAAGTTTTCTTTGAAACCAACAGGTATGCTGCTCAGGAGTTCGAGAAAAGGGAATAACGCGACGCAGACTGGTATGACACTTCTGCCCTGGAAATCAAAGCGTACTTTGGCCTGCACATCCTTATGGGTATCAACCAGCTTCCAAGTATAGACCTGTACTGGTCTCAAAACAAGTTCTTAGGTACAATACATATTTTTTTGAGCTTGATGAATTCGAAAAATTAACACATGCATGCATCAGCTAATGCCCTGTAGAAGGCATGGGCAGGTGTGTGATAAACAGGACTTCTCGCGTTATTTTTTGTGCATTTTGAAATAATTACGAAAATAAAATCTATAAATAAAACTAATACATGTACTTTTTTAAATTGGGGTGAGGGGGGTATTTTATAAACCCAAGAGATATTAATAGAAAAGATAAATAAAATCTAGATGATGGTAAAACAAATAATTTGCTGGAGTTTAATTTAATGCACAATTTTCAGATTATTTGAATATGGAAGAAATTATGCCTTGTACGCATGGAATGTTGCTATGCGACAGTATCAGTACTTGGACGTTTCTACGCGACATTATGGAAGCATGCAAAAGAAGTACAGGTAACTATATTTGCTGGTCATCTGTTGAGAAGAAATCATGTTTACGTTTTAAAAATTAGCAATATTTAAAAATGGTCTTTAATTAAGACATGGGTAACACAAGCTTTCAAATGGTTCCCAAAAAGAGTGGGGGTCATTGTTAAAATGCGAAAAATGGATAACCTCATGGAAATTACGACAAGAGATTTGAAAAGTCCATGGAATTTTTATTCATCAATGACTTTGACAGATGACCGTGTATTAATGGTTTCGAAGGAAGCGTCTCTAATAGATTTGAAAAGTCCACGGATTTTTTATTCATCAATGATTTTGACAGATGACCGTGTATAAATGGTTTCGAAGGAGAGAACAGTACCATGCAATGTCCCTAACTACAAAGAGACGATGTATTTAAGTGCATCTGCAAATAATACAGGAAGTTCAAATTTTAATTGTTATCTACAGAGACAGCATACTAGAAATTGTAAGGCAAACTCCCTTTTAGAGAAAACATATTTGGTTATTGAAGATATAATTTTATTTCTGAAGTCTTATTTGTATGGCTGTTCCCTTGCTCATTTCGAGCGATTTTCTGATGGTTTCCGACAATACCACAGCAGTTCATTGG